CCGCCCGGGCTGCGCTGGACTTGGGCCTGGCCCGCGGGGGGCGGGGTCTCCGTGGCTCGCGGCGCTGGGGCTGTGCCCCGGCCCCAACCCCGGCAGCGTCCGCGGCTACACTGCAGGGTAGAGCCGGGGGGGAGGCCCCCTCCCGCCCGAGGCGGTCACAGGGAGGGGCTCCGCAGCGTTGCCAGGTCTTAAATAGGAAATTATCGCATTGGAAGCTCAAGATTATCCTATTTGTTGAAAAACTTGTGTGCTGAAAAAATATGCAAATACGTCTTTTTCTAATTTACTTTCTGTGCTCGCTGTAAATCGCCAATGAGCGAGTGAGAACTGGCTTATCAGAGTTGAAGCACTATTGTGAGGCGAGCTGTGGTAAGAAAGGGCTGACAGTAAAGCCAAAAGTCAGTTAATTCTCCCAGAGAATGACTTGGGTTTTGCACCTGCTGCCTTAAAAATGATTGTACGGTTTTGAACATGTTTACTGTTAATGATCATATGTTGGTCAAGGGTTGGAATTATTGTACAAGTACAATAGTTATCGTACACCTAGCAACACTGGGTCCCGCACTCCACCCAGGTAATCAGGGAGTGACCATGGAAACATGGCCCGCTGCTTGCTGGCTTTTTTCGTGGATGCATCCTGGCTTTAGGGACAATCCTAGCAGATGTGCATGGGCAGGCACTAGTCCTAGTTTTGGGGGCTTTCCTTGGAGACTAGCATGGGCAAAGTTTGGGCTTACCAGCTTTCCTAGTAGACAACAGGGACATGCACTAGTTCTAGTTGTGGGGGCTCTCCTAGTAGGTGTGTCTGGATATACACCATTTCTTTCAAATTACTTTTATATTGGAGTCTTCATTTTTCCCTTCTGTTTTCAGACTGTTGTGGTCGTTGCTTATCCCCGGGTTATTTCTCGGTGGAGCCCTGTGCCTCTGTTTGGTCGTGTTGCTGTGGGGAGTGCGGCTGTGGCTGCAGCACAGGAAAGATCAGTCGGCCTCTGCAGGGCAGGATGGGAAGCGTCAGCTGGTGGTTGCCTTTTTTCACCCGTATTGCAATGCAGGCGGTGGTGGGGAGAGAGTGCTGTGGTGTGCCCTAAAGACACTGCAGAAAAAGTGAGTGTACACCCCTATCAAAGTACACATAATTACTTTGCAGCCTAGTGCTTGAATGTTGCTGTGTAACTCCTTATGGCAGTGATTCTGAACCAGGTGCCCTGAGCAAACATAGCCCACAAGATAAACCCAGAGACTTCAAATAGGAATTAATAGTGTAAAAAGCTTTATGACCTGTTGTAGTCTTTATGAGATCTTTGCAACAAAAGAATTGCTGAATTAGGTTTTTTGACTACAGAAAAATAAGAGCTGGCATTTTCTGAGGGGCACCTCAAATCTAAAATGGTTGAGAACCACTGCCCTATGGCATTTCATGTACTTAAGGTGGCACCATCTAATCCAAACATTTGCTTCTTGTTATAGAAGACAACCTACCCAGTATCAATCTAAACTGATTGGGACATCCCCTGGTCTGTCGTACAGTCTTCCTCTTACATACTATTGATTTGCCTTTGAAAGACTTTGTAGTATAGTTCTGGGGTCCTACATTTCTTTTCAATGGGAATGTAGTGCCTTAGAAATTGACTTGCATAGAGTAACACTGAAATCCATTTCATTCAAATAAAAACAACCACTGCATTTTCTGCATATCAGAAAGGACCTTAATTGGTTCAGTTAAACTAAAAACTATACATTTTTAAAGAGGAGTAACATATCTAAGATTCAGGTTAAAACTATACTTTAAATATTTTTCAAAATTACCCAAAGAATACAAGTTTCACAGTGACGTAAGACACTTCTATAAAAAAAAAAAATGTGACGTTCTTTATTTTCCGTTTCAGATACAAAGATGCAACTTACGTTGTTTATACAGGTGACAAAAAGGTCACTGAAGAAGAGATTGTTAATGGTGCTTTCAGAAGATTCAGCATCAGATTAACTCATCCTGTGAAGTTTGTGTTTCTAGAAAAACGCTATCTTGTGGAAGCTTCTCTTTACCCATATTTCACTTTGCTGGGTCAGAGTTTAGGATCCATGTTTCTTGGCTGGGAAGCTCTGCTAAAATGTGTTCCTGACATTTACATTGACACAATGGGCTATGCCTTCACACTTCCTCTATTTAAGTACTTAGGAGGCTGTTGTGTGGGGTGTTATGTGCATTATCCCACTATCAGCACTGACATGCTTTCTGTAGTTAGGAATCAGAATACCAGCTACAACAATACTGCCTTCATTACAAAGAATCCTTTTCTCAGCAAACTTAAACTTGTCTATTACTTCTTTTTTGCTTTCCTGTATGGATGGTTTGGTTCTTGCAGTGATGTTGTTATGGTTAATTCTTCATGGACCCTAAATCACATCCTTTCCCTCTGGAAATCTGGGGCTTACATTAGTATTGTGTATCCACCTTGTGATGTCCAGACATTCCTGGATATTCCATTAGACAAGGAAAAGAGCACAGCAGGACATTCCATTGTGTCTGTGGGCCAGTTTAGACCTGAAAAAGACCATCCCTTGCAAATCAAAGCCTTTGCAAAGTTGTTGGAAAAGAAAACTCTGGGGCAACAGCCTTTGCTGAAACTCATTCTGATTGGGGGCTGTCGTAACCAGGAAGACGAACAGCGTGTGAATGGACTTAAAAAGCTTTGTGAAGAGCTAGGTGTCGATAGAAATGTGGAGTTCAAAGTCAATATTCCATTTGAGGAGTTAAAGAAGTACCTGGCAGATGCAACAATTGGTCTGCACACCATGTGGAATGAGCACTTTGGGATTGGTGAGTACTTGAAGCAGTCTGGCCTAGTGATCAGAATAGGATTAGGATCTTGTTTTGGGTTTCAAATCTAGTGCTGGTAAGGACTTGATGAGTAATGTTACAGCAATTATAACTTGCTTAGTTTTGGCCAGGTGCAGAAAGAGTGTAGTATTCAGTCTCATTTATAAGGGGTGCTAAATGCAAGACAAATGCATTCTAATGGATGGATTGTTCACTTGGCTTTAGCTTCCATAAGCTAATATTGATATCATGGTAAATAAGGTTCACTAAATTGTCACTGAAATATAAACAGAATGTATTCTGACCTGACTGCCTGACACATGCTGTCTTTTAACTAATGGAGGAAAATTTGTGTAAAACTTAACTTCATTCTATTGTGCCAATTTTTTCTTTCTTAAAATGCTGATTTGGTGACCAGAGCCTTTCTTTGGTATCTGTTTTACTGAACTGCTTATCTAAATATTTGGTTTTTTAAATTGGGTTTTGAGTAAAAATGGCTCTTCCTTCAAAATTTGCCTGTTTCTCTTAAAAAAATTCCTCTTGGGTTGAATGTAACACTTTGACCCAAGATTTCTTTTTCCATAACTGCCTAGCTGCAGCAACCCTATTGCAAATTTTAAAAAATAGTTATTGGCAATACTATAAATAAAAGTGTAATCTTCCTTCTTTATGACGGGACTTCTATAAAAAAAAAAAAAAAACTATATACATTTTGTACAAATTAGACTAATACATTAATTCTAACTTATCCAGCTAGAATGAATTCATTCCAGCTTGTCCAGTAATCTTGGAATTCTAGGTTCTCATTTTCAAGTTTCATGGAAGATAGAATTAACTTTTAAACCATAAAAAAATCTCAGTTCCAGTTTTTCTTTTTATTATAATCTCACCTACTGCGTCAAACTTGAGTTTCAACTCAACACATCAAATATCAGAAGCTAACTCTAGCGGAATATTCTGTTAAGTTTCTCTCCTCTACAGTTTTAAATGTTCGTATTCAGTAGCCCTATTTCCCCTCAAGTTTAAATGAAAACAACCAATTTTGTCAGTTGTTCTAGAAAATCTTCCAGAGTGTAGAAGAAAAAAAATCAACAACAGTGAAAACAAAAAACCTTGACAGTTTAAAAAAAAAAAAAAAAAAGGAAAAATAGCATATCAGATAAACGTTTACTTTTGGTTTCATTCAAAATTCTTGCCCACCCAATCAACAGTTGTCAAAAACTGACAATTTTAGCTTACAGGTTTTTTTTATCAAGTGTTTTTTTTCAACAGAAAATGGAAATGGTTAATTGAAACAAATTTTATATGACAAGTTCTGTTCTTTTTTATCTTAACAAAAACATTTCCAATGAAAACCATCCATAATTCTAGAATATATAAGGACAACATTCATAATGACACGTTCTGTATCTTTCCAGGAATAGTTGAATGTATGGCAGCTGGAACGATTATCCTGGCTCACAATTCTGGTGGTCCCAAACTAGATATTGTGGTACCCTATGAAGGAAATATTACAGGATTTCTGGCAGAAAATGAGGACACTTATGCAGAGACCATGGCTCTCATCTTGTCTTTGTCACCTGAAAAGAGTCTGGAAATAAGAAAAAATGCTCGCTGTTCTGTAAGGAGATTTTCTGACCAAGAATTTGAAGTTGCATTCCTATCATCTGTGGAGCAATTATTTAAATAAATTGTATGTGTACTTATATAAAAAAGTAGTCTATATATGACTTAATCATCTAATAATATTTTTCTAAAGTGGGGCTGGCCAGCTGCCTAAACTCGTCTTGTAAATCATTCGGCATTTTGAAGACAACTTTGCATTAAGTTAATCCAGGTTTGCCTTATCTGTTATGGCACCCCTTATTATTGGATCCTATTTTTGAAGATGAATGCTCTCTTATAGTGATTTAATCTCTTTCTTTGATAACATCTAAACAGGGAATGTTCCCATGCTTCAACTATTTATTTGATATCTATGGGCTGGATGGCAAAACATTATTCTGTACTTCCCAGTGATAGCTGTCTCTTGTAAGGCAAGATGTATGCTCCCTTTCTGGTATCAAAACCTTAATTTTTTAATAAATGGCAGAATCATCCTTGACACAGAAAGAAACACTGTCATAGATATATTTCCTATATTGACTTATTGGTATGTACAATTGTAATTTGATCTATGTCAGGGTCTCTCTTGCTTACATTTTGTAATGTAAGGTTCCTCAGGAAACCATTATATAGGTTTCAATGGGAAGTATCTTGTTCTTAGTACTCAATATAGGATCAACTTACAGTGCTTTAAACAAAAGGTAGGAATTACTGTAGCTGTCCTTTGTATTAACTATTTCTTCCTCTCCCTGGCAGTATAAATAGTTCACTGTCCTTTTCATAGTTTCATAGTTAGTAGGGTTGGAAGGGACCTGAGCAGATTATCGAGTCCGACCCCCTGCCATGGCAGGAAAGAGTACTGGGGTCAAATGACCCCAGCAAGGTGTTCATCTAGCTTCCTCTTAAAGACCCCCAGGGTAGGAGCTAGCACCACTTCTCTTGGAAGTTGGTTCCAGATCCTAGCCACCGTGACTGTGAAGTAGCACCTCCTGATATCTAGCCTAAACCTCAAATCCGAATCATAGAAGTAGGGGCGGAAGGGACCTTGTAGATCTTCAAGTCTGACCCCCCGCCGCCTAGGCAGGAGAAAGCTGGGCTCAAATGACTCCAGCCAGGTAGGCATCAAGCCTCTTCTTAAAGACCCCCAGGGTAGGAGTCAGCACCACTTCCCTTAGAAGTTGGTTCCAGATCCTAGCTGCCCTAACTGAAGTAATTCTTACGGATGTCTAATCTAAACCTACTCTCCAACAACTTGTGGCTGTTATTCCTTGTAATGCTAG